ACTAAGAACCAATGTCGTCCTGTGGGTGTTAGAGAACAAAAGAGTCCAGGACGTACACAATGAGAACGTTGTCATAATAACTTGGAATTCAAGGAGTCTAGAAGAATCTAAATGGAGCCATTGTGTGAATATTCTGGGCAATCTTAGACGAGACCAATCGAGTAATTTATGCACTAATCAAACCATATCCAAGATTGAGTAGTTGCTTTCCTTGTACAAAGATGTGTTTACCATTGCATGTGCTTATGACCGTTAGAATATTTTTAGTATTTTACTTATAAATATATGTATACATTTGTAATCAAATAATAATAATAAAATACAAGTGACCAAATTGGTTCACCTTGTGACTTTTCGGTTTTGTCTTGCATGAACTCCTCTTTCACTTCTTCTCTATTCTCAGATTAGTCTCTTTAAATAAACTCGTCATAAAATCTTCAATGGGATTTGCAAACTTGGCATAGGTTTCCAAATTAAAGGGTCTCATATTTTTAGTATAAATTTTTTTGATATTTAATTAAATTATATAACAAATTAATAAATAAAATTCTTCATAAATATAAAATATATATTATTAAATTACATTCGTAATAAACTATTAATCTAATAAAATTCCAAATTATTTACTTTCATTGATTTATTTTAAATTTTATTGATAACAAAAATAAGAATCATTTAAAATTACATTCTTACCTAACCTTAAATAAAATCTAAATATAACAACATTCAATAATAAACTAATATATTAAAAGAAACTATATATTACTATTCAATATAATTTCAAATTTTAAACTTAATTTATCACATAAAATTTAAAATTTTAAAAACCAAATTTGATATTTTGTACAGAATCCCAAAAACATTTGAGACGATTCTGCTAAGAACAATGTTATTTTTCTTTAGCTTAAATCTCTCTGACTCATGAACAATTGTTGAATTTAAAATCTCCATCTGAATTTGCAAACTCGCTTACAGAAATACCAAAATTTAACGAAGATACAAGACTCGCAGTCTCGCACCGTTACAGTAACCCTAACTCTAGGCCAGTCCGACGGTGACTCGCCATATATATGTGTGTGTGTATATATATACGAATTTCTCATCGTCGCTAGATAAATATCTCATTTTTAAAATATTCTATTCACCGACGGATTAAATTAGATACCCAAAACTCAAGTTTATTTGATTAGTTCCATTGAAAACACGTACACTATTACTTCATTCATCATGTAAAATATAAATATCTGATACCCATACTTGTATTTATATCTACCAATGTTTTTCCAAATTCCAAGGTCTGATTCAAATTATGAGTCATATTAATTAAGCCAACCACTAGTATTCTATACAAACATCCCAAAAAAAATATTGATTTATTTTTTAAATAAAAATTTAGTAATTGAAATATTAACTAGGGAATATTTATATGAAATAACTGTTGGTTTTTTAAAATAAAAAACTAAAAAAATTGACAATCAAATTTTTATGGAAGTCGTTTTCATAAAAATTTGAAAATCCAATTCCATAAAAAAAATCAACTAAAAACTAAAAAACTCTTTTTTTTATTTACAAAAATCAAAAATCAAAAAACCAAAATCCAAAAACCCAAAACTAAAAACCAAAAACTAAAAACTAAAACCAAAAACTCAAAATAAAACTTATTACCATTCAAGGCTTTAATATTGTATAAGTTAATAAATTTTTGTTTGTCAAATGCAATATTTCTAGTATGTTGGATATTTAATGGATTTTTTTTCAAATTTTATAGATTTATATAAAACTCTATAGTAGAAATTTTGTTTTGAATCATTTAAATAGTTTTTTTAATCAAAACTAGTAATTGATTTTTTTATAACAAAATTATAAGATTGTTATTGAATAAATTACATAATTAATATTTTTCTAAACTTAATATTTGATTAGTTTTTATAAGAAATTAATAGTAAAATATTTGTAAAGTAAAAGGGTGAATTTTTTTTTTTTTTTTTAGATCATCCCTATTTATATCTACAATTTATTTTCCGAATTCCAAGATCTGATTCAAACTATGAGTTATATGGATATTGATTATTGACCAGCACTATGTCCCTCGCCTCCTTACATTAATTGTAGATTTAATAAAATAAATCAACCACTAATACAAAATTTAATAGAGGGTTTGTCAAATGTAGACTATCTCCCTCGTCAAAAATTAAGCCCACCCCCTCCTACAGTGACAGCAGTAATTGCATCGTCTCTTAAATTTGCAAGTCTAAAAAAGTCACATGATCAACCATTAATGCTCTATACACCCAAAAAAAAGTGAGTAGGCTTGTCAAATGTTGAATATAAATGATCTCCCGCCATATAATCATAAATATATTTTTATATCATAAAAAAATACAGAATTATCTTTAGTATTTTTTGAGTTCAAATATATCGAAAATATAAGATCGAATTGGCCCTTCGGGGCCAGGTCAAGTGGCAGAAGGCAGGGGGGCAACTCCTTGAGGTGGGGGGATCGAATCCTCCCGCCGCTCCTTCTTTCATCTGACCTGCCAGCCTGTCATAACGGGTTGATTTACCTCCCACGTGTGTGTCGCAGGCTCGTGTGCGTGGGCTTGGGGTTTGACCTGCAGGCGCCTAAGCCCAACTACGGCCCGAGCGTTAGGCGCGCCTGGTGGCCAGGTCCGGCGGACTGAGGTCCATGGGGACTGTTAGGCGCGGGTGGTGGCCAGTTCGTCTCCGTTTGTAAGGGTAGGTAGTCACAGGGTTCCCCAATGTATCAAAAAAAAAAGATCGAATTTCAAAACCAATTTTGGATAGCCAACGTAACAATCTTTAGTAGCCACATGATCAACTGGTAATTATATATATATATAAGTTCGTCAAATGTAGACCGTGTGCATCGTCCTTATGCATTGTATTGTATTTTGGTAATGTTGCCTCTTCAGCTACGTTGTAGGTCTAATAAGGCCACATGATCAACCATTGATATTCTATACGAGTCCCCAAATACCAAAGTGGGTTTGTCAAATGTAGCCTATTCCCATCCACATCTATTATATTTTTATATCACAACATATTATTGGAGATTATTAATTATGGTATAATATGCATATATATAAAGAATAACCATATAAATTCTAATTAATATATAAAAAAGAATATAAAATATTGTTATGTGATATAAATATTTTGAAAATATGAGCAAGAAGCAAAAATAGTTGCATACAGGAATTAAGCCCACTTTGGTCGAAAAAAAATCAAATTTAAATATAATAGATTATGGTCCGCTCATGTTTAGACGGGTTCAAACGGCAATATAGCAGAAATACCCTTACTTTGCTACATAGACTTCACAGACTACCCTCCAAAGCCCTAAAATTTTGGAAAAAAAAATAAAAGGAACAAAAGACATAATTAACCCTCTCACAAAAGTAACGTGATATTCCTCTCTTCATTTTGAATTCATCTCTCTCGTTTTCATTCTTTGATAACTCTTCATTTCTTTCTTAACTTTCTCTCTCTACTCTTATATTTCTCTCAACTCTTTCATTTTCTCCCTTCTCATTTCATTTTTATACATAGAAAAACAAACGAAAAATGGTTATTTCGTTGAGCATATCCTCACCGACGACCTCATATCTTCTTTTTGAGTCGGTCAAAGACAGAACAAATGACAAAAACTGAAGGTAAGTTCATTAATACAAGAGATTGGTTTGATGCATAAACTTTGTGTTTTGGGTTTGAGTTTTATGATTTTTAGAGTGAATCGTGTATTTTTTTATGAAAATGAGATAGATGCATAGCAAATCTGTCGAAGAATATGCAAGAGGCGCATATTTAATGCCAAATAAATGTTTGGAGCAATAATGGAACAGATTGACAAAGGTACGTTACATTGGTTACACCGTCTAAAATTTAATTTTGGTCACACTAGTCACATTGGTCACACAGGTCACACTAGTCATACTAGTCACACAGGTCACATCGTTTAAAATTTGTTTTGGTCACACTGGTCACACTAGTCACATTGGTCACACTAGTCACACTAGTCACATTGGTCACACTGGTCACACTGGTCACACTAGTCACACTGGTCACACCGTTCAAAATTTTAGTTTTGGTCACACTAGTCATATTAGTCATATTGGTCACACTAGTTACACTAGTCACATTGGTCACACCGTTCAAAATTTAGTTTTGGTCACACTGGTCACACTGGTCACTTAGGCACACTGGTCACACTGGTCACACCGAAAAATTTTAAAATTCACGCGAAAAATTTAACTTTTTGTGGTGGAGGGAGTTTTAAAATTTTTAAAATATTTAAATTTTTTCCTAGGGAACCGAAAACTGTTCTCTCTCTTCTGTTTCTGTCATTGGGACCCACGCCAATGGGTATTATGGGAATAACATAATTATAAGGGTATGTTTTGAACTAACTTTTTTTTTTATTTTTGCTGGGGTATGCCTTGAAGTCTTTGTAGCATAATAGGGGTATTTTTGATAAAAGCCCGGTTCAAACTCAACTTAAAGGATAAGGCGTGTGGCAGGTGGCAACAATCGTAAAAACTAACTGGGTATATATCAAATATACCCTTAAAATGCTACTCCTACTTCATGTGCTACCCTCCAAAAAATAAAAAAGAAAAAAAGAAAATCTGAAAAGAGTAAAAGACATAGATATCCCTGTATTTTAAGTCAAAGACCAAAAGAACCATGTCACGGTGGTTAAGTTTTTAAGAAATTAAAAAAATTATTGTCTCTCTCTTCCTCGGTTAACTCCCCTCCCCTTCCACTCTGCCCGAGTCCCCTCCCACTCTCTCTTATGTCAAAGACTCTCTCTCTCTTGCCATTTTGAAAACTCTCTCTCTCTCTTGCCATTTCGAAAACTGTCTCTTGCAATTTCGAAAATTCTCTCTCTCTCTTGCAAAATTTGGAGAACCGTTGTTTCTCTGAAGATTTCGCCTTGCAATTTCTGTATATCTATTGCGATTTTCAAAAATCAAACACCCATGGATCCAAGAACACATGTCCCTTCTGCTTCGTCTTCGTCTGGGTCTGAGGTCGGTTCATCATCTTCATCGTCGGACAAAAATCTCCCATTACAAACGATAGGTTTTTCTGCATCTTCTTCTCCTTTTTTTCTTCTGTAATCTGATCCTGGAATTTAGGGTTTAGGGATTTCGAAATTGAAAATTAGAGTTTTGGGGTTTCTGAATCTAAAATTAGGGTTTTTGTTTTGAAATATATAATTTGGGTTTTAGGAATCCGAAATAGAAAGTTAAGGTGTGGGTGAGAGATTTCGAAATACCTTTTTAAGTTTAATGATTTTCTAAGTCGCAAGGTCATGTGGATCACATGTCACATGGGTCACAGGGATTTATATGGTAACATGATAATATAACTCACAAAGAGCACAAAGAGCACACGGGTCACGGGTCACTGGTCACGAGTCACGGGTCACGGGTCACGGGTTTCAGGTCCCAGGTCACAAAGATCAGAATGACGAACAATTATTTTATTTTGCAGCTTCCATTTGTCTACAAATTCGAAGACATTCAGTTTTCTTCGAAGATCAATATGAAGTGTTATCCCTATGAGACATTGAAGACGCTTAAAGAAGTACTAATAAATGAGGAATGGACGTACTTCGAGAAAGAATCACAGTTCAAACATCTATTCTATGTGCAGTGGGACCCACAGTTAAAGATGGCGCCTGCGGGAGTTCTCATTAACCGCTCCGTTAAAGTGGAAGATGAGAAGGAGCTGTGGTTCGTGCTCAATGGTGTGTCCGTGCGATATTCGATCATTGAACACATACTTATATTTGGTCTGAAGTGCGGGGAATATCCAGAAGAATGGGAGAGTTTCAAGAAGAGTGAATTCAGGAAAAAAGACTTTCGGACTTAAGAAGGTTTGTTTGAATGATGTGGTGGAGAAATTGTGATCTATGCCAACCAAGAGGGCAGCGGATCGTAAGAGATTGGCTATTCTATGTTTGAGGGCCGGAATCTTAGATCATGCTCTGTCGTCTGAACAAATCAGCCATTGTGTACCATTGATCTATTGTGAACTCTTTCGTATTGTTAACTGTTTCGTATTTTCTAGACTTATTATTATATTTATTGTGAACTCTTTCGTATTGTGAACTCTTTCTTATTGTGAACTTATTATTTATTGTTACATGAGATATTTGGGCATATGAGACATATGAGTTACATGAGTTAGACAATCATATAAGTCACATGGTTAACAGTCACATGGGTCACATGGGTCACATGAGTCACATGAGTCACGGGTCACATGAGAGTCACATGGGTCACACGGGTCACATGGGTCGAATTCATCGAATTAGTGACTTGGCATGGTTATGCAGTGATTAATCATGGATTTTAACATTAATAACAACTTTTAAAATCATGTTCGTTTCATTTTTCATATTCAAGTCACTCATACAAATGTATTCCATAAGTGATACAAGTGTTTCATGACAACTTTAGACCAAATTGTACTAATGTTCATACAACTCTTATTTACGTTAACGAATTTAACTTGTAGATATCATATTGTCATTGTAAAACATCATATAAACCATTTCAAAACTTTAAAATCGAGATTTGACCATGTTTTATAAGTGTCACTGGGTCACGGGTCACATAGGTCACATGAGTCACACAGTGTAAAAATGTATTCGGGTCACATGGGTCACATGAGAGTCACATGGGTCACAGAGTTTAAAACTTGTTTCTATCTTTTCAAGACTTTAACACGGTACTTCAAATAGATTGTCCTTCTGAAAAATGTATACAATCACATGGGTCACGAAATCACATGGGTCACGAGAACTACATGAAATCATACAATCATATCCTTCTTTGAACGCTTTGTCCGTGGTTCGTCGAGGCCTGGAAACCGATTTTGTTTGGGTTTACCGGTTTTGCGTTTATCTTCCATAATCGGAGGTAATACCACGAGGTTTGCATCCCGTGGGTCGTAAATGATCCAATCACAACAATCAGGAACCAGATAAACAGTTTCTTGATAAGCCAACCGCCATGTCTCCCGGAGAAAGTATGGAGAGCATACGTCTGGTATAATATTGCCTCTTAGAATTTAAAAGCTTTTTAGATTTTGTTGTTGTAGTTATGCTCATACGTAGACGAACAGATGTACATTTGTAATAAATGTTTATGAAATAATATGATTATTTGCATGTTCATTAATAATAAACAATATCCTTGTATTATTTGGAATAATACTATATACCCTTGTCAGTTATTATCGTGGGAACGATAATAAATGAAGACTAGTGTGACGTGTATGTATGACGTATTGGATACGTGCTACGGTCACAGATGCACGTTTGGAACGTGTGACTAGCTGACCCACATGATGGTCGGTTCATGGTCATGAATCAAAATCGACGTCATTATAATATCTCACTTTTGTCCTTTGACCTGAGATAGCTATTGGTATTCTCCGTAATTAGTTTTGTGTCTTGACATAGTCAAACGTCGCCTTAACATGGTGGTTATAAAGGCTATGCTTAGATGCGCAACGGATAGAGATACAGAGCAAATCGAAGGAGAGAGAGAGTAAATCGGCAGACGACACAGAGAGACTGAAAATCGGACGAGAACGAGAGCAAAATCGAAGGAGAGAGAGAACAAATCGAATGAGAGAGAGCAAATGGAGGAGAGAGAGACTATAAATGGTGGAGGTGAGAGAGAGTGAAATATATGGGAGGAGAGAGAAGATAAGTTATAATGAGGAGGAGAGAGAAATCACTACTTTTTTGGAAAGAAATTATTATTATTTATTTTTTAAATTTTATTTGTTTTATAATATAAGGGTATAATGGATATTGTACATGTGGGGAGGGTATATGTGAAGAGATTATTTTTTTTTCTGGAGGAAGGGTAACATTTTAAGGGCATTTTTGATAAAGCCCCAAACTAACGATATTTCTTAGATATAATGAATTTTCATGATATAAACGGTAGATCGCTTTCTAAATTCTATTTATTACATGTTATATCGGAGTTCCGTTACAATGAAAAAAGACAAAGTTATAGGATGTATAAAGCTAAATAAACAAGGATTCTCACATCATGAACAAGAGTGGGTAAACAATCTAGTTCAAAGTTACGATCACACCAAAATTTTAGATAGCGTAGACAATAGGCAGCTCTACACTAAGAGAGATAAGAAACCTTCAATGGAATAGAGTATTGCAGTATTGCACATGAAATATTGAATCATTTACGAAAGAATTTGGTGAAACTTTTCGACACATTGAACAGAAGAACAGTGAATATTGAATGAGCCAGAGAGATCAAAATAAAAAGGAAATAGAAAATACGGGTTTTAGATTATTGTAACGGATCAAGTACTAAATAGAATTGGGGTTGAGATTATTATAGTTTTTTTCGAGATGGTACCAATCCTCCAACAATGATGAAGTTGAGTCAGGTTTCCGAAAACCCAACGCTAAGAGCGCTGTTCGGACAGATTTATCGATTTTTCTTCGAACAATTCCCGGCGGCTTCCGTTTGTTGCAAAATATGCGTTGGTTGCGCTCATACCATATTGCTTCGATCGTCGTCTGAAGAAGCATCTTTGCCAATTGCTCTCTATTCCTGGATTTGTTGTGCGCAGGATTAGAAAACCAGCTAATGCATTCATCAAGTGTCATTGGCGGAAGTGGCCAAATTTTTCCAGCCATCAGACTCCATATTGCTTCACTATAGTGACAACGAAAAAATAAGTGGTCATGTGATTCATCCTCTGTGTCACAAAGCACACAAGTGGAAGAAGAGATCAGTCCCCATCTATTCAGCCTATCCTTCGTCGGCAACCGGCGCAAGAGAGCTTCCCACTGAATGAAGGAGAGTCTGGGAATCGATAACCGGAACCAGACAAGGCCATACCATTCTCGGACGTTCCCTTGTTGTCGAATAAGTTCCCATGTCTCTTTGGATCGAAAATCTGGTTTGTAAGACCCGTCTTTATGCTTCCAAAGCAGAACATCCTCTCCCTGTTCAATATTAGGTGGTTGAATGGTCGATAATGCCACCTGCAATTCTTGGATCCTATCATTCCTGGCCCCTGGCATATGCCAGCCTCCATCTCTACAAGCAGCTTTGACCGAGGAGTGTCGGTCAATTTGCAGAAGTGATGGGCCAGATTCACCGACAAAGGCTAGTAATGGTCCTAGGGGGGTCCATGAATCATGCCAGAAATAAGTGTTATTCCCATTCCCAAGCTTAATCTGAGTCAGCGGGCGTGCTAAGTATTATAGTTGGGTCTTTGAAAGAATCGTGGTTAAAGTAAAAAGTGTGGGAGATAGAATCGTTCTACTTAAACTGATTATAAATGGAGAATGTATTAATGTGATTAGTGTTTATAACCCTCAAATAAAATTAGATAGCGAGTGTTTGCAAAAATTTTGGGAAGATATAAACAATGTCATGAAAAGCATACCTTGTGTCTATTATTATACATGGCAATCTAAATGGATCTATTGAAAACGATTGACAAGATATAACAGTACATGAAGCTTTTAGTTTGTAGAATTTAAAAGCTTTTTAGATTTTGTTGTTGTAGTTATGCTCATACGTAGACGAACAGATGTACATTTGTAATAAATGTTTATGAAATAATATGATTATTTGCATGTTCATTAATAATAAACAATATCCTTGTATTATTTGGAATAATACTATATACCCTTGTCAGTTATTATCGTGGGAACGATAATAAATGAAGACTAGTGTGACGTGTATGTATGACGTATTGGATACGTGCTACGGTCACAGATGCACGTTTGGAACGTGTGACTAGCTGACCCACATGATGGTCGGTTCATGGTCATGAATCAAAATCGACGTCATTATAATATCTCACTTTTGTCCTTTGACCTGAGATAGCTATTGGTATTCTCCGTAATTAGTTTTGTGTCTTGACATAGTCAAACGTCGCCTTAACATGGTGGTTATAAAGGCTATGCTTAGATGCGCAACGGATTACGTGGTGGGTTGTAGCGTATCAAGATGGAAATTTGTTTCTCCTGATTACGGGATAGATATCGCTGGCCACTCGGTGTTTAATCATGTTGTAAAATGCTTGGCCAAGCCATAGATGTTGGACATCTATATTAACAGATGATTAATGGACGAGAAAGCAGTCGAATTGGTTAAGGTTGATTGACACCATGTCTTACGTTCGACTGGTAATATATCACGAAACAAAGGGATATTAGTTCGATGATATTGTAGGTACAATCGAGGTGATAACTCGGTTTAACGTGTGTAGTTGATATGTCTTGCTAGAGGTCACTATCAACGTGTACGTAAAATAGGATTTTATCGTTACGACCACGTTAAACGGGGCCTACCGGGTCACACACATAGGGTTATACCAGATTTATATATTTGATATATATCGGTTATAGGCTCGGGTATTTTTTTTTCCTGACCCTATTTATTGCTCGGTTATTTCGTCGGTTTATATTCACGAGATTAGTCTCGGTGTATGTGATACATTTTCAGAATACGAGATTCATTTCGTATGACGTAATACATTCATTAAATAGGTTCATATGAACTTGTTTAATGAAGATGAATATGTCTCTTCGTATTCTGAAACCTATTAAATGAATCTGACTCTTCATTTGCTTTGAGATTTATATAAATTGACATCAGATGTCAGTTCACAAATCATCGGAAAACAACATAAACATAAAACCCGGCAAAAGAAAAGTTCCCGAGTCGGAATACGAAAAGTCTCGTATTGCCTAAACCGACGAATCCCGAGGGTATTAGCATACCGACCCGACATGTGGATACCGATAGAGGCGTTCTTATTTGTAGGCTCTTTCTTCGTCTCCGACTCTCCGATTCTGCATTTGA